AATTAAATGAAAGATACTCCATCTGTATTACAAGTCGCTTTGATTTTCTAGTTAAACTTTTTAAAGTTTGATTAGATCTATAAAAAAAATATAGCAACATTTTCACCACAAAATAAACATATTATTATAAATATATTCAGTGTTATATTTAATGAAATTAATTTGGTGTTGTAGATATTGATATTTTTTTTCTATAAATTTAGTCCAAACCTAAAAACAGTTTGAAAAAGAAATCAAACGGAGGGAGTACCGCAAAATGATGCACACTGTAATCGCAAGTGCAAAAGCTTATAAGGCGTTGTTAAAATTTGAACTTACCTCACTTATCATAGTCCAAGTTATACCAAACTATAGGAATTTTAGCATGTGACACATTACCCCAGATATTATAGTTTTAAAGTTTTGCAAAACCACGTCGTTAACCATTTTGATATACTCCTATATAAAAATTTAAAAGGCTATACTTACATAATGTAACATTTATATGACGGATAAAGAACTCATAAATTATTTGAGATATGATTGAAGAACTCAAAAGTGTTGTAGATTAAAATCAAAATGATCAACATTAAACCAATTATGGTTTAATGAAACTTTGGGACCGTAATACGTGGGTTTATGTGCCATGTGACGAAATTCATGTGGTTTTAGTAACTTAGACCATAATACTTGTGAAATTTACTTTTTTTTTTAATTTACTCCCTCCGATTTCATAATTCTTGACGTTTTGAACAGGATTGAGATTAAACTTTTATAACTGTTTTACTGTAACTTTAAAAATATTTAGTTTAAATGGATTTATCTTTAAAATTCTATAATAAAAATAAACATGTATTTATTTAACTTTAAAAATACTATAATAAAAATAAACATGTATTTATTTATTTTGGAAACCGGAGGGACTATGTGGGCAACCGATGGAGTCCTTGCATTCTGGATTCCTGGTTGAACCCTGCATATGCCCGTGCCTGTGACTGCTGCCATACTGGACGCCTGGTCCCGTTAATTGGCCATAAGCCCACAAGGTGGGTCACAGCGGCGAGGATGCCGTCGACAACTCGACATCGTGGTGTTTCAGACTGAGACCGAGGATAAGGATGCTGGATGCTCCATACTGGACGGCAGCCGAGCGAATGTTATCTGGTGTACTGTCCGGGAATATTGAAACTGGGATTTGAAGTTGTACGAACTTGAATTTTTATTTCAACTAGCAAAAATGCCCGTGCGTTGCAACGGGTAAAAAAAATAATCCAATGACAATAGACATTTTTCAAGCGTACCCATATCAATGATAATGTTTCTATGGATCGTTGTAGCTAACACAATTAGAAAATTAGAGCATCTTTATGTAATGACCCAAACTCGATGATGGCAATCTTTTTACCAATGCTTGCTTTAACTAAAATAATTGGATTATTCATATAACAATATACATATAATAAAAAAAATATTCTTTCAATATTATTCTTGCAACCAATAATAGGTTAATCAAATCCTACACTCAGGATCAAGTCTACACAAAATAGTCACCGTGCACTCTTCTCTAAATAACAATTAAAAATATGTTTATTTTTAATACTATTTTCATATAATATGTTATTAAAAAAAGTCTGATAATGATAATTGCATACAAAAAGTGCAGGGATTAGATGAGGAAACAAATGATGTGTAGGAAATGATGTGTAGGAGATGGAAAAATATCGATGGATCTTATCCGACCCAAGCGTCCATCAATTTTATCTCGCTTTGAGTCGGACGGTTTCTCGGAGCGGTTCTTTTTATAAACGGCGGTTTTTTTCTCGCATTGAGTTGGATGGTTTCCTCTATTTTTTTTTTCGAAATGATGGTTTTTTTCTCGCATTAAGTCGGACGGTTTTCTCGATCCTTATTTTGAAACATCGGTTTTTTTCGCGTGTTGAGTCCGTTTGTTTTTTTTGGATCTGTTATTTTATAAACAGTGTTTCATCGGTTAGTTTTTTCAGAGCGGCTTTTTTTTATAAACAGTTTTTTTTTCTTGTGTGGTTTTTTGAAACCATTTTTTTAGAAATGGTGTATTTCTTTCTGATAGTTTTTAATAGCATTTTTTTTGTTTTTTTCAGACGAAGGAAACCGTATTTTTCCCGCGCATTTTTTTGGAAATTATTTTTTTCTTGCGCATTTTTTTCCTTTTTAACGGATGATGGAAACTTCTCTTTCTAAAAAGTTAGATTAGATTGATAGATTAGATTAGAGTTAAAGAGATATATACGGATAACAAGGGGCGACTTTAAGTTTGGTCGGGTCGTTTTTTCCTCCTTTTCTTTTTACGGAGTTTGAGTTAGATGTTTTTTTTCTTTTTTTTTTATTACGGACGAGAAAACCTCTTTTTCACGAGTCGGACTTTTTTTTTCTCTACGGGAGTCGGTCCTTTTTTTCCTTTTTTTACGACAGAAGGTTTTTTAGAGATAGATATTTATTTTTAATTAGGTATTTATTCACGCGTGTTTCCCTTCGGATAGAAACTTTTTTTTTCGCACTATTCTTTCCTTTTGTAGGAAGATGGAAACTCTTTTGTCGCTCGGAATTTTTTTTATTTGGAATCGGACAGAAACTATTTTTGTGGGTAATTTTTTTATAATTAAAAACGGAAATTTCTTTACCGGTTTTTTTTGGATCGGACAAACTGGTTTTTTTCGCCCGGTTTTTTTTCACCCGGTTTTTTTGACGGACGATGGAAGCACCTCTTATTTTTTAAGTAGTAGTAGATATTACTCCCTGCCATTTCATGTTATAAAACTTTTTAAACCTGACAAAATTTATAGAAAAAATTAGCAGCTTTCATAACACCAAATTATTTTTACTAAATCTAACAAATAAAATATATTTTAATAGTTGTTTGTTTTGGGTTAAAAACGTTACTATGTTTTACTATAAACTTGATCGAACTTAGATGTAATTTGACTATAAAAAAAATCAAAATATCTGTATTGATGTGGTTTATAAGCTAGACCTATACAAAAGAGTACATATTAGGCTATTAGCCACATCAAAAGTTTGAATACACATACTTATTTAACAATCTGTCTTGATAACTTTTTATTAAGCTTTTTGTAAAATAAAAACTGATAACCAGCGGTACTAATAAGGATATATAGGAAGTGCCCGAATTTTATGTTTATAATAAATTATAATCCTTAAATTAAATAATTAGTAATTCATTGTAGAGGGTTTTACATTTTCTACTGTTTTTCGTGAATCTATTGGGAACCGGTTTGTGAAAACCGACTTTTGGGTACTGACAAAAGTTATCAGTTTTCACTGGTTTTTCTTGGTTTTCAGCAAACGACCAAGACCGTTTTTTTACCTTCAAAAAGGTACTACTAGTTAAACCACGGAACAAGGTCCTCTAGTCCACATGTTAGTGCCCTAAAATCATGCGTAGTTTGTGTAAAAAAAATCACGTGTCATTATCGTAAAGGATCAGCTCCTACTGTGCGCATGTACATGACGGTAGCCAAACTACTGTAGTTCCGGCCTTCCGGCACAACACTCTCGATCTGAGGGCCTCTTCGAAATGCAGAAGTTTTATAGGATTTTTGCAGAAAGTAGTTCAATTGCTCTAAACTTCATGTAAAATTCCTTCAAACCGAATATACCCATAATCATTGGATTTCAATGTACGGTGACAAATGGTCTTGATGCAAAGAACTTTTCATCCTCTACGTCAACATCACCTTTTACTGTATTCGAATCTGTGATGAGGAATGCGCATGTTAACTTGGTTTTATTAGCATTTGACCTGGTACACGAGGCCAAAGCCGATGGCATGAAGCAGGCCATACATGACATCTCCAAGGATAAATAATATAGAATAATGATAATTTTATCTGTTCAGTATACCGTTGATAAAACAAGGAACAAATAAGTCTAGGAGCTTCATCGGTTACCCATATTCTCTAATAAACCAAAACAATTTATTAGAGAATAGCAATTAGTTTGCAGGCAAAACATTTATATATTTGTTCGTAGTGACTTAAAAGTCAATATTAAAAAGAAATTACATTGAAAATATTTTAAAATCAACTTCAAAAGCAAATTTAAAAATTTAAATTTTTGCTTTTCTTTGATTTATTAGTCCAGCAGATGGGGCTTAGACAGGTAGGTCTAAGTTGGGCTCCCAATCGTCTAACTAATGTAGCGTCCAACAAGGACGAGAAGAAAACCCGCATCAGCAGCGATCGCAAGGCTTGCACGGCTACACCACGAGTTTTTTTTTTTGTTAGATTATTAATTTGTTTATTAAGAATTCACTGGCGTGCTGCTTTCTGAAACTTGCCTCGTTTCCTTGTTGCTTGGGCGCATAGTGCGCACGCTGAAAACGAGTGGAATGCAAATGCCTTTTTTTCTCTTTCTTTTCTGTTTTTGCAGGAATGTTCTCCGAAAACAGAGTGCAGTAGATTGTTTTGCTCCGCAGTTCGTAGTATAAGAGCAAATGCTGGAAAATGTATGTGAATTCACATAAAAAATATATATTTCAGTACAAATCCGTTGTCACAGGCTTGGAACATCGCCTGATCGCCACATAGTGGCCTGGTGGTGTTCATACATACCGCCAGTTTTCAGTTTTCTTCTTAAATAGTACAAAATACACATATAGAGGGAAATTTCAGGAGAAAATCAGCATTCGCTTTCATTGGATATTCATCTTATACATAGGAGTAATACTTATCTATAGAATTTATAGAATTTCACAATTCATATCAGCTCTAGATCGGATTATCCATGAAACCAAGAAACATCTACCACACATACATTTTCTTCAAGAACAACGAGCCTTACGAGTGAATTTCCCCCCATCCATGCGGTGAATGAACTATTTCTCTGTAAAATAAATCCAAGAAAGATCCAATGGGGCTCAAATTGTCGCCACCATGAGGACAACATCCAATCCAATCCAATGCATAGGTCCAATCCACCTTCAGTAACTTACTGACCAACCAATGCAAATTCAAGAAAGCAGATAATGACGAAGAAATTGACTTGATATTACCATGGATCAAAAGTCCACAAGTTATTAGCTTCGTCCATTGATAGCATCACTCAAGAACATTACCATGAAAAAAAGAGAGAAATCATGGTAATAGTAGAGACGTACATCAAGTTCAACATACTAGAGAGCAATAGATACTTGGGTTGGGGAGGGGCACCAGCTGCTGGGGCTGCCCTCGCTTCGCTGCAAAATCTTGGTTTATTTTGGCGTCGGTGGTGGCGCCGCCGCCGCTGCCGGGGCGGTTACTTCTTCTTGTGGAGCAGGGCGACGGTGCCGTCCTTCTTGGCGACGACCACCGAGGTGGCCATGCCGAGGAACATGCCGTGCTCGACGACGCCGGTGATCCGTAGGAGGCGGTCGCTGATCTCGTTGAGGTCGCCGCGTATGCCATCCTCGAAGAACATCTCGACGATGTAGTTGCCGTTGTCGGTGACGAACATCTCCTCCTTCCCCTCGCCGTCCTTGGAGGCGACCGTCCTGAGCCTCGCGCTGAAGCCAGGCAATCCGTCGAACACCTTGCGGACGAGGCCCAGAGTGTGGTCGCACCCGAAGGGGACAACCTCGACGGGGACGGCGCCCGTACAGCCGAGCCGCGGGACGAGCTTGGACTCATCGACGATGACGACGAACCTTCCCCCGGACCCCTCGATCATCTTCTCCCTGAGCAGCGACCCACCCCGCCCCTTCACGAGGTTCAGCTCCGGGTCGACCTCGTCGGCGCCGTCGATGGACAGATCGATCCCGCCCGCCTCCCCGAGCGGCAGCATCGGGATCCCCACCCTGGCGGCGTGCGCCTCCGTCTTGAGCGAGGTCGGGACGCCGGCCACCGCGGCGAGCTCCCCGGACCGGAGGAGGTCGCCGAGGCGGTCCAGCGCGTGGGCCGCGGTGGAGCCCGTGCCGAGGCCCAGCGTCATCCCGGGCTCCACCATCTCCACGGCCCGGTGCGCCGCCACCCGCTTCAGCTCCTCCTGGGTCACCAGCCCGTTGGCCGGCGCCGGCGCCGGCGGAGGGGAGGGCTTGGCGGTGGGAGGGGCGGGGGCGGCGTCGAGGGGGGAGGCGAAGCTGCCCATGGCGGAGGTGGAGGTGGAGGAGGGGTTTGGGGGATTGGGAGGTGGGGGATTTTTGGGGGTAGGGGGAAGGGTGGCTATAGGAGGCGGCGGCGGGAAAGGAGCGGAGGAGGAGGAGGATAGGGGGGAATCGTGGGGATTTATAGGCATCGGGATGCGTGCGGTGCAGACCGTAGTGGAGTGGACCAATTATATGGGGGGAGCTCTTTTTGGGGATTTCACAAATCGTGGGGAAAAAGCGTTTGTCGACCGTCGCCTTTTTTTTTTTTTTTTTTTTTGGCGCTAGAGAACGAGCACCGGGGATTCGAAAAGGATTTGCGCTGGCGAGTGTTGACTGGTCTAGTATACTGTAGTACCCTTTTCACGCGTATAACGCTGTGGCTGACGGTAAATTGATGGAGCCACACGTTAATCTCTTTTCATGTTTCACCTAATATCTCGTCTCAAAATATAAGTAAATAAGAAGACATTTTCTAATACTACAAATCTGATCAGAAAGCATGTCCAAATTCTTTTTCGAAAAATGCTACAGGACATGATGATATCTCTTATGTATCGGCTAATATCCATTCGGACGGGATGATACTGGTATCGGACGATATCTCAGAGATATTATCCCGCCCGAACGGGAAACTGTCATGTAGCATTCCTCATATTTTCTAGTTCTATGAATCTAAATAGCATAATCTGGGTTTCTATATCCTAAGATAGAGGGAGTAAATATTATGTCCACATGCTAATATGCACACGTATAACAACAAGCACACATCTCTATACTACCTTCGTTTCAAAATTTAACAACCTGACTCATCCTAAAACTACGAATTTGGATAAAGTGTATGTCTAGATTCGTAATTCTAGGATATATCTAATCCCATTATAGATTGCTATATTTTGAGATGGATGGAATAATATTTGCCGAAATATTGGTAAATTGACCATTTTACATAAGCTATTTTAAGAATAGATTATGCCAAAAACTAAATTTAGAAATGGATTGTGACCTCAGCATCAGCGGGTTAGTGCTGAAATCTTGTCTGATGTGGCAATATTTGCCACATCATCAAATCTCCATATTGGCGCTGACCTTTGTTCAATATACAAAGCAGTTATGGTGGCGTTAGCGCAGTGGTAGACACTCTTGCTCCTATCCAAAGGTCCTGGAGTCAAATGCCAGCTCAATATCTGTTTATCCTAAGTACTCATTTGGTAGGTCAAATCTTTTTTAAATTCATTCCTTTTTAGCTTGGAATAAATAAATTTGAGAACTTATTTTAAGTTTGTTTAGGAAGGTCATATTTTTTAAATTCATTTTTATTTTTAACATATTTGAGAAAATAAATTATAATATTAATCTTACTGAAATATTTAGCTCAATAACTATACATTTTTCAAAAAAAAGAGATGAAAACTGTATAATTTAATTTTCAAATCCGTCGGAACCCACTACTTTGAACAGTTGGTGTCCAACAAGGCGTCTCATGGTGGATGAAAACCGGAACTGGGTAGAAACCAAGTTTGGGGTAATTTGCATGATATTGAATGTTGGACGAGGTTGGATGTCTGGTTTAGAGTTGAAGGGTGTGTTTTATGCAAAACAAAGAATTCAGGGGTGTAAAATGGACTTATCTCTTAAAACAACTATGACATGGTAAACATTATATCTATTGAACTTTACATTTGCAATTCTGTATATATGGAATGCTTGCCATTATTGCAAACATAATTTCGAATCGAAAAATAAGCTCTCGTAAAAATCACAGAGAAGATAAAGAAGAACCGTCATTTCTCTTCGCTCATGTGCATGATTCATGATGCCTGAGGCCAAACAAAGAAAGCTTGACAGAATGATCCATGTTGCTTGAACACAGATGTAGACCTTATAACAGCGTGATTCACGCTTGCTAAGACATCTCGAGTACACATAACCTACGTTCATGCCTTTAAGATGAATAGATGATGCAATATCTCACTTTTTTAGCTACCTTTTGCTTTTAAGATTGAGGCGACAAAATTTTCATTAATTAATTGTGCAACTAGATTGCTTTCACAATCACAAGTCAAAGGTCGCAGGAGACAAAATTAAATCCAATGAGGATAAACTTTATAATAGTATAAATAAACATTATAGGCCACCACTAAGTAGCTTTTAGATTTCTCTATTTTTAAATGAATTATTGTTATTCCTCGTCGTCACTTTACGAAGTTGGTGCCCTCCATATTATCGTCGCCCATCTGTGGTCGGCTACAATGTAGTGAGAGAAAGCAACCATTTATGTCCTCTGATATAAATATGCAAGTAAATTTCTCGTATGTTATATATTGTGCATCAATGTTAGTATATCCACATTAAAATGTCAGTATATCCAAAATACATTAAAAACATAAGAATTTTATAGGCTTAGTTAAATTTGGATTTGTTTATTTTTGTTGCATATCTGAATTTATACGAACCCAATGATCAAGTGAAACTCATCAAACCCCAAAATACTATAGAAATAAATATTTTTTTGTTATTAGCATATGGAATTACTTATTAATGCTGAATGATAAAAGGTTCAGTCGTTTAACCATAAAGTTCCAGTGTTATATGTTTGTGCCATGTTCTAGGGGTGCATGTGTACGTGTGTATGTTTATGTGGTGGTGTGGCATGGTTCTGTGACTGTGTGCGTCTATAATTGTACTCTCTTCTTAAAAATAAAAAATAAATAGATCCTTGATAGTGTGTTTTATTGCTCTATAAGATGGAGGATTAATTTATGAATTGAGAAAATCGTCAACACTCAAGGACCAAAGCTTTGACCAGAATATTACTTTGAATATCCGTCCTGATCTGTCTGACTAAATAAGCAATTGAAAAGTGTCGCTTCTGCTGGACTTCCCATTTTCTTGCAAGAAATTTGTTGACACCGCATGGATTTGAAGATTAGACTTTGTAATTTTAAGCACCGAGCATATTCTTTTGTACTGTATACCTTAATTTGGTAAGAACTCTCTAAGACTGAGTATTCAAGAGTACTAGGATTTTGTTTAGGGACGGCAACAAGAAATTGGATAAAGGGTTTCTTTTTTTTTTTCTGTTCGAGTCGATCAGACAAACTTTGAAGGTATTCCTGGCCACATTTGAGTGAATTTGGAGAACTTTTGGGGGGCGCCTAATGCGCGACTGACCGCGCGTGGGGTAGGCGCGCGGCGCCCCCTAGTACTACTGTTACTAGTACTGTACACTAGTATAGTACACTAGTACTACTAGTATTTACTACTAGTAATAGTACTACTACACTACTATTACTACTATACTACTACTACTACTAACAAATATATATTTTTATGTATAAAAAAATATACACATATACAAACTTTGTATACAATATGTATAAACTTTGTATACGATGTGTGCAAATTTGTATACGAAATATATAAACTTTGTAGACGTACGTATTAAAAATAATAAAAAAAACACATCATGTGTATACGTATACAAGTATACAAACCTTAGATACGAACGTGTATATAAAGTTTCTATACACATATACAAACTTTATATATGACGTATACAAAGTTTTTATATATACGTATACAAACTTTGTATACATATATATAAAAAGTTTGTATACGTATATGTAAAAAACCGAAAAGGAAAAAAGGGAAAGAAAAAAAAAAGGAAAGAAAACCAGAAAGGAGAAACCGAACAAGGAAAAAAAAAGGAAAATCGCGCGGTCCCACCTTACGCACGCGCTGCCGCCGCGGCCCTCTCCGCGCGCGCCACGTGCCTCGCCGCGCGGGAGGGCGCGCGCGCGACTAGCCGCGCATTAGCAATTTCGGAACTTTTGTGCTGCAAGTTCGCTTTATTCCCTTGGCTAGTACATAATTTTGCCAACGCAGAGAGATTTGACATGAAACAGAATCATATGCTCCGGGAATTTAGGAAAATCCCTCTGGTCTCCAAGCAAAGTCCATGGGTTTCACCAGAATCCAAATCATTTTAGAGGGTCGTTGGTTCGATATCTCTCAGATTTGTCACGTTTTTAGTTTTGTAACACTACCTCTGTTAACAAAAATATTATGTCTTCCTATAATTAGGAGTAGTAGTCTTTTAGGTTCATATGCCGAGGTTCACAACTTCACATTCCTCATTTTTCATGTGCATATTTCCCAAACTATTAAATGATATGTTTTTTTAAGAAAAGTTATATTGGAAAGTTTTTTTAAAAAATCATATTAATCTATTTTTTAAGAAAATAGCTATGACTTAATTAGTTAATCATGAGCGTGCTTCGTATTACATGCCACATGATTCAGACACAAGGTACTACTCTCTTTGTTCTAAATTAAATAAACCTAATATGACATCTGAGATAGTATGTGTCAAGTTTAATTTTTTTGCTTAAATTTTCTTAGCAAACATATTCTTAGAAACTATAAGATGCGATTTAGCAAAATTAGTTTGGCCTAGAAAAAATAGGTAAAGTGTGGCTTACAGAAATCCTAAGCTGAAACTGAAATTGAATGGCCTAGCAATGAGGCCTGCATGTCACATGCTCGCTGGAGCAGAAATGGATGTGGCCGGGCCTATGGCCAGATCAGGCCCATAAGCCAGGATGCCCCATTTAATTGCCTGTTGGGTGACAATTATGGAATAAGTTCATCCGAGGTCCCTTAACTTTACACCGAATCCGATTCGTCCTTATACCTCAAAGCCAGATACAATACGTCCCTAAACTGTCAAAACCAGTACAAATTAGGTCCCTCGGCGGTTTGGAAGGCGGTTTTGACTGATGTGGCGCTTACGTGGCTGGTTTGACTAGATCTTCGTCTCACGTGGCATTGACGTGGCGCTTACGTGTCAATTCTACTCCGGAAAAATAATAAAAACCGTGGGCCCACCTGTCAGTTACACAAAAAAATAATGTAAAAGGTGGAGCCCACGTGGGCCCCATATGTCAGCCTCACTCCTCCCTTTTCTCTTCTTCCTCATCCTCACTCCTCTCTTCTTCCATCTCCTCTCTCTCTCTCTCCTTGCTAGGGAGCAGACGGGCAGGTGGGGGGCGGAGCGCACGGGCGGCTCCTTCGATGGCCGCTGTGTCACGGGCGACTGCGCCAGCG